CTGGTCGGAATGCAGTGGAGTTTAACAAGTCATTGAACCCAACTAGTTATAGATTTCTTTGTTTCTTTTTTTTTTTTTTTTTTTTTTGGACTAGCCAAAAAAAGAAAGAAATGCAAATTATTTGGTTCCACCCCAAACCTACCAATTTAGAATTTCCAAGGTGGGGCTTAGGAATATGCATTTGAAACCTCTTGAATATGATACTCAGTTGCCTACTGGATTTATATATTCATATCCCACAGAAACCCAAAACTCAACAAGTCTCAATATAATCTTCTCCTCCTCTACCAACTTGCTGATCCTTTTTTTACTAAGGAAACAATCATACCACCAAAAAGACTAATGTCAACCACAACTTCTCAGTCTTCTTCGTGTCTGCCATCTAGCCAATTGCCAGGTCCTTCTGAGTCTACTTCTTCACTTTATTTCCAATCTGTCTACCTCCCTCAGCTCCCTGGATACCTACATAGTTCAGGTAATGATTAGATCTACACTAGATTGCAGCAACAACTCTTAAATGGTAGCCCTGTTTACTTAAAATAATTCAGAGAAAAAAAGGGGCAGGAGTAAGACAAATACAATAAAATGTTAATCATTAAATCTATAACTAAGGCTGTATAGATTTGAGCAAAGAGAAAAATGAAAGAGAATTGAGAACCTAGAAACATACAAACACAAAAATTGACATTTAACTAATTTCAAAACAGTGAGGAAAAGGGTTGATGTATCAATAAATGGTACTGTGATAACTGGATCTCCATACAGAAGATAGCAAAGTTGACTACTAACTCACATGACAAAATAAAGTGAACAATGGATCTAAATGTGAATCGCAAAACAAGTAGGCTTTTTAAAAAGAAAATATAGGAAGATGTCTTCATCATAATCCCTTTGTAGGGAAATATTTCTTAAACAGGCTAAAAAAATACTAAACATAAAGCAAAAGACTGATACATCTGACTACACTAAAATTAAGAATTTCTGTTCATCAAAATAAGCTATGAAGGTAAAACAAAATAAGCCACATGTGGAAGATTTTGAAGTACATATAATTAGCAAAGGATTTCTATCTAAAATATATAACTTCTACAAATCAATAAAAGAATCCAGTAGATAAATGAGCAAAAATCTTCAAGATGTACTTCGCAGATGGGGATACCTACATGTTCAATAAACATGTGAAAAGGTGCTCAACTTCATTAACAGCCTGACAAATGCAAGTTTAAACCACGAGCCACCACTGCACACCCTTCTGATAGGTGAAAATTATGATGCCCAACAGGCATTCACTTACTGTGTTTGTGGGAGTATAAGTCAGTCAAGGGTCTTTGGAAAACATTTTGGCATTATCTAATGACTTAAAGAGGTGCATTATCCTCCAACTTGGCAATTCCAGTCCTATATATAAACCATAGAGAAACGTGCCAATATGTATCAGGATACAAGCATAGTAACAACATTGCTTGCAGTATCTCTAAATGTGCAAAAAAGAAGCCCTCAATAGTAGAAAGAATAAATTGTGGTATACTTACTTGTACAATGAAAAAAAAATTTTTTTAACTTTTAAAAAAATAGGGTCTTGCTCTGTTGCCCAGGCTAGAGTGCAGTGGCACAATCACAGTTCACTGCAGCCTGAAACTCCTAGGCTCAAGTGGTTCTCTTGCCTCAGCCTCTCAAGTAGCTAGAACTATGGGCACATGCCTAGCTAGCTTTTAAAAATTTTTTGTAGAGACAGGGTCTCTCTAGGTTGCCCAGGCTTGTCTTAAACTCCTGGCCTCAAGTGATTCTCCCAACTCAGTCTCCCAAAATATTGGAATTATAGGCATGAGTCACCATGCACAGCCAAAAACATTTTTAAAATAATTTGGAGAAGCAAATCAATAAATACATTATAAATCTTTCTATATAAAGTTCACAAACACACAAACCTAAACTATAGTGAACACAAATGCAAACAGTTGATTAAACTATAAAGAAAACCAAGGAAGCTACTTTACCATAAAAGCAAAGAGATGAGGATGAGGATGAGCACACGGAAGGCTTGCAAGAAACCTAGCAGTGGTGTGCTTATTGACCTTGGTCACATGGGTGTTTGCCTTATAGTAATTTATTAAGTACACATGTATGTTCATGCATTACTTCTGTCTGTGTGTGATATTTCACAATGAAAAGAATTTTCAAAATAAGATACTGGAAGGAACACATAAAAACTTCAAGAACTGTGTTAAAGTAGTAGAATCAGGCTGGGCGCAGTGGCTCACGCCTGTAATCCCAGCACTTTGGGAAGGCTAGGCGGGCGGATCATAAGGTCAGGAGATCGAGACCATGGTGAAACTCCGTCTCTACTAAAAATACAAAAATTAGCCAGGCATGGTGGCAGGCGCCTGCAATCCCAGTTACTCGGGAGGCTAAGGCAGGAGAATCGCTTGACCCTGGACAGCGGAGGTTGCAGTGAGCTGAGATCGTGCCATCACACTCTAGCCTGGGGGACAAGAGCGAAACTTTGTCTCAAAAGAAAAAAAAAAAAGTAGTAGAATTAGAGGCAACTTCCATGTTTTCCTTTTTCCTCACTTCCTTCGTACATACTTTTATCGGTTTTGTTATTTTTTAATTCAAAAAGGATATTTTTCCTCATTTGCTCCCACTAAACGAAGTTTCCCTGCACCTGTTCCACCTCATGGCTTCAGCCCACATTAGTACCTCCTTTGCAAATCCTTCTGGACATTCTCCTAACGAACTCTGCAGCATTTCATATTAACAACCACTACTCTCCTTAAAGCTACAGCTCAGTTTTCATGGCACCTGTTTCATCAGTCCTAAGCTGCTGCCTCATAAAATGTATGCATTCCTCCTTTTTTCTCTAAAAATCAGTGTACCTCCATTAAACATCTGCTGTAGGCCGGGCGCGGTGGCTCAAGCCTGTAATCCCAGCACTTTGGGAGGCCGAGACGGGCGGATCACGAGGTCAGGAGATCGAGACCATCCTGGCTAACACGGTGAAACCCCATCTCTACTAAAAAATACAAAAAACTAGCCGGGCGAAGTGGCGGGCGCCTGTAGTCCCAGCTACTCGGGAGGCTGAGGCAGGAGAATGGCGTGAACCGGGGAGGCGGAGCTTGCAGTGAGCTGAGATCCGGCCACTGCACTCCAGCCTGGGCGGCAGAGCGAGACTCCGTCTCAAAAAAAAAAAGATCTGCTGTAGAATCAAGTATAGAACTTACAGAACTTACAAAATTCAGAACTTACAGAATTCATCACCTTTTCTCCAAAAATGACCCTTTTCTGTCTTTTGTTTCTCTACTAAAATCTGTATCCAAATTATCCAAGCCTAAAACGCCAACTGGAAATTCCTTTTTTCGCTGCTGAACTGCTAATCTGAGGATATCTAATGCAAGTTATTTAGACACATCACTAGGCCATGAATTCCTTGATAGTTATTATACTTTTGTACACCCTCTAGTCTCTGTAGCATTTAATAGAGAGTCTTGAGAAAGATTGACAAGATTAAAATTCCTGTAAATATTAAGAGTGTATGTGAAGGAATAAATATCAGTTAGTCAAAGAGTAATGAGCTAATCCTTTCCAGGTGATTAAACAGAACAGCAATATATGTACTTTTTAATTTTTCTTTCTTTCTCAGGTTGGATTTAGGCAATAGAAATATATGTCCATTTGAAGAAAGAAAGGGAGGAAAAAACAAAAAGAAATGAAATTCACAGACCAGACAGAATGAACAATGACAACAAAAAAGATATCTGTGAGAAAGTAGAGGAAGTATAAAGTGAGAACTGGTTGAGTATGTTAGCTGTTACGTAATATAGAAAAAACAAAGAGAACTGGGTATAAAGTAGTCCTTTATGGAATTGTAAGTGAAACTTCAGTCTTTATATCTCTGGTATTTTTTTTTTTTTGAGACGGAGTCTTGCTCTGTCGCCCAGGCTGGAGTCAGTGGTGCAATCTCGGCTCACCGCAAGCTCCGTCTCCCAGGTTCACACTATTCTCCTGCCTCAGCCTCCCAAGTAGCTGGGACTACAGGCACCCGCCACCACACCCGGCTAATTTTTTGTATTTTTAGTAGAGACAGGGTTTCACCGTGTTAGCCAGGATGGTCTCGATCTCCTGACCTTGTGATCCACCGGCTCTGGCCTCCCAAACTGCTGGGATTTCAGGTGTGAGCTCTCTGGTATCTTTAAGGGAAATTTTTCCAATCGACATATTAAAAAGTATTCCTTTCTCATTGACTAATTGAGTGGTTTTAAAAAATTTTCCCATCAGCTTCCAACTCACTCACCTGAAAACAGATCTCTGTTCACATTCCTTTTCCCCAACCAGGGTTCCTTCCCTTGCTCCAATAAGGAAACCACATCTGGCTTAGAAATGGAAAGACCTGCTTGCAGAAAATGAAATAAGTTCAAAATCAGTCGTTGAATCCTAACAAGGGCCACAAAAGAAATGTCAGATGGAAGTTTTTAAAATGTCTAAAAATAAGGCACACTTACGTCCCCATCTTACTGATTTTAAGAAACCCCATACCTATCTTGGGAATATTCAGCCAGATAATTATAACAGCCACCCTAAAGGTCAGATTTTGACTTGAGGGAGATGAAGAGGAATAATTACCCAGTGAGACCAGATGGCCATAGTTCTCCAACATTACACATCGGTACAGATCTCTCTGAGCAGGCTGAAGCCATCTCCACTCCTCCTGGGAGAAGTCTATGGCCACATCTGTGAATGTCACTGACCCCTGAAATGACATACAGATATCTGCATGACCAGTACCCATGCTCCCAAACTCCCTTATCAAAGTATAAAATGAGTCTCACTGTGGAGGTTAGGCAATGTGTTGAAGTAGCAACAATGGGAGTTTTCAGAATTCTGAGTAATTATATAATGGAGAGCCTAGCTTTTGTGTTTTGTTGTATAACTGGAGAAAAGGAGAAAAAACATAAATTATCTGACCTGAGACAATTTACAGTTTTGTTCAAAATAAAGGATTATACATATGAACAATATGGATTTTTGGCATTGCTTGTAAAAATTCTTAAGATTTTACAGTATTCCTTTATGTTAATAAACAATGTATATTTTCCTTAATACCAGCCTATTTTAATATAATTCAGCCAGAATTTCTTCAGGGTAATAATTGGCTATAGCAGATAATAGCAGCACCCTTCAAATGGGGCATACAGTCTCAAGTTTGTTCCAGTCATCCCTAATCCTAAAGAAATACCTGTGAAACTTAGTGGTAATTTTGGCAATGTCACAGAACAAGGAGGATAAGCAGTAAAGAATCTTGATTCTGCAAGAAGAGAATGTAACACCTCCCAGGACAGAACCTAAAGCACTTTCCCTCGGAGTTAGGAATAATAATATAGAAGCCCTTGCTTTGCAGCCTGGTTTTGCACCACTTGAGTGATCCACATAGATCTATAAGGCATGAATGGGAATTTAAAAGGTCTCAAACTAGTAGCAGCCCCCGATGGATGGCAGTTACATTTTACAGTTTTGAAGTTTAATAAAAAAGTGATTAAAGACTGTTGACTAATAAAGCAGCTGTTTCCTACACAGCAAGATCTGCAGCAGAGGTGGAAATTGGATTCCCCAGCAAAACTCAGAAAGCCTCTGAATTTGGAGAGAAGTATGACAAAAAGTAGGACAAAGAAGTGGAACTGAAAATGAGGGACTCATTTTGAATAGTTGACCCTGTTATCCCCACTGCTGTGAAGCACAATTACCAGCCAAACTCTTAGCCCCAATCAAAATAAAAATGTGTTCCTTATGTCATGTCAGCAAAAGAGCTCTGCCGGGCGCGGTGGCTCAAGCCTGTAATCCCAGCACTTTGGGGGGCCGAGATCGAGACCATCCTGGCTAACATGGTGAAACCCCGTCTCTACTAAAAATACAAAAAACTAGCCGGGCGAGGTGGCGGGCGCCTGTAGTCCCAGCTACTCGGAGGCTGAGGCAGGAGAATGGCGTGAACCTGGGAGGTGGAGCTTGCAGTGAGCGGAGATCGTGCCACTGCACTCCAGCCTGGGTGACACAGCGCGAGACTCCGTCTCAAAAAAAAAAAAAAAAAAAAAAAAAAAGCTCTATGGGTTCAGAGATTTTGTTTTGGTCACTTCTGCATCCTCAAGACATAGAATGAGCTGAGCGTTAGAAGCACTTGGAAGGACTGTTAGATTGCTGGGCCAAATTCCCAGTTTCTGATTCAGAAGGTCTGGGGTAGGACTCAAGAATATTCATTTCTAACAAGTTCTCAGATGATGCTGATACTGCTGGTCCAAGGATCACACTGTGGGAACCACTGAAAGTAGAGGTTCAGTAAGAACATATTCGGCCGGGCGCGGTGGCTCACGCCTGTAATCCCAGCACTTTGGGAGGCCGAGGCGGGCAGACCACAAGGTCAGGAGATCGAGACCATGGTGAAACCCCGTCTCTACTAAAAATACAAAAAATGAGCCGGGCGCGGTGGCGGCGCCTGTAGTTCCAGCCACACTTCAAATGAGCTCGGGAGCGTCGCTGGGCGGCGCGCCCCCCCGTGTGTCTAGTGCTTTTGCGTTAGTCAGCGCCTCCTTCATCTCATTTATTGATATGTTTCCTTTTTTTTTTTTTTTTTGAGACGGAGGTCCGCTCTGCCATGCCCAGGCTGGACAGTGCATGCTGCCGCATCCCTGCTCCACGCCAAGCCTCACTCGCCGCTTCCTCGCCATTTGCGCTTGCCTCAGCCTCGCCCGGGCTAGCTGAA